TATGGTATTTATCTTTCACCACCTGGCTTATTTCACTTAGCATAATGCTCTGGAGTTCCATCCATGCTGTTGTGAAAGGCAGTTCTTTCTTTCTGCTGCATAGTGTTCCGCTGTGTAAATGTACCACCGTTTTTTGATCCACTCATTTACTGATGGGCTCTTAGGCTGTTTCCAGTATTTGACTATTGTAAATAGTACTGCTATGAACATTGGGGTGCATAGGTTCTTTTAAATTGTTGTATCAAGATTCTTAGGGTATAATCCCAGCAGTGGAATCGCTGAATCAAAAGGCAGTTCCATTTTTAGTTTTTTGAGGAAATTCCATACTGCTTTCCACAGTGGATGCACCAGTCTGCATTCCCACTAACTGTGCACTAGGGTTCCCTTTTCTCCACAGTCTCGCCAGTACTTGTTTTTCATCACAAATTTACTTGTCACAGCCCCAAATAAAAATGTTTATAGTAATCCCATGCCAATTTCTAAAATAGGTATCTTCAGACTGGAGCCCTCTGGCTGCATTTTGCCTTGCACCCATGTTTTGTTTGGCTCATATAATGTTTTTAGTTTAATTTTAATAACTGCCGTATTGGAAAATTGATTTACATATCATTAATAATCCAGAATTTAGGGCTTCTCTTTAAAAGAGTCAGAAGCACACCTTGTAGGATGGCTATGATAAAAAAAAACAAATAGAAAACAAGTGTAGGTGAGAATGTGGAGAAATTAGACCCTTGTTGGCAGAAATGTAACAGTGTGTAGTCACTATGGAAAAGTGGATGCTTCTTTTAAAAAATGAAGAAGAATTACCATATGATCCAGTAATCATACTTCTGTGTATATACCCCCAAAGAACTAAAAGTAAGGTCCTGAACAGGTATTGGTACATCCATGTACATAGCAACATTATTCATAGTAGCCAAGAAGTGAAAGTAATTCATGTCCATCAACAAGTGAAATGAACAAAAAGGGGTATATACATGCAATGGGATATTATTCATCCCTATAAAGAAGGAAACATTGACATATGTTGTAAGGTTGATGAATCTTGAAGACCTTTTACTAAATGAAATAACCAATGGAAAAAAAGACATATGCCAGTTATATAAAAATACACAGAGAAAGTAGAATGGTGGCCACCAGGAGTTGGAGAAAGAGGGAAATGAGAGTTGTTTGATGGCTATAGAGTCAGACTTACAGGTTCTGCAGACTGATTGTACAACATGAATATTCTTAACTCTACTGACCTGTACCCTAAAAAATGGTTAAGATGGAACAATTTTTTATTGTAAGTTTTAAACAATTTTAATGTAAAATAGCATTTAAAACATTAAAAAAAGTCTTTTTTAAGGTTTTATTTATTTATTTTTAGACTAGGTGGGAGAAAGGGAGAAAGAGAGATAGAGAAACATCAGTGTTCAAGAGAAACAATGGGTTGTGTACAGACCCAGCCCGCAACCCAGGCATGTGCCTGTGAATCAAACTGGCAACTTTTTGGTTCACAGGCTGGTGCTCAGTCCAATGAGCCACACCAGCCAGGGCAAAGAATCTTTTTAAAGAAGTTAGAAGATCCATCAGCATTGGACCCAGCAGCCGTGCAAGGTACGCATGAGCTGAAGTTGACGAGTAGTTTCCTTTACCACTGCAGGCCCTCTCCAGGGCCACCAGAGATGTCATTCCCAGTTTTCTCCCTGGCATTGAAGCCAAACTATCAAATGCCAATTCTTATCCAGTTTCCACAGACTATTCTTCATCAGTTCTCCTCTCTCATTTCTGTTACTTTGCAGGCCACTGTTACAACTTGAATTTGCATCTCCTTCTCTAGCTGGTGAATTTATAGCACCCTCTTAAGATCTGGCACATTATGTCATAATCTATGAATTTAAAATAAATATCACATATATAATTTTTCCCTTCAACTAGTCCTTATACAAAAACTTTTAAAGATGTTGTTTATGGTCTGACAAACAATTGTAATGTGAAATCTCTTTTCATTTAGCTATTTTAAAAATACAATTACTTGGAGTAACATCAGCATCACAGAAGAGGACATTTGTAAACCAAGAAGGTTTCCTCTGCTCAGCATAATGGGTTACCTTAAATATCCACACGTTAATATAGCTGAAGGAGGGTGTATTGGCACACTAGGGGGAAGGGGCAGAAGAGGGGGGGTGGGGAGAAGGGAAGAACGGGATGGAGCCTGCAGCCCTGGTTTCCCAGACACCATGGCTAAGCCTGGAGGCCCAGCAAACACAGCAGTGGCAAAGGAGTAGAGGTGGCCCCCACATCATGGTAAGGGCAGGAAAAGGGAGGCACCTAAGACTCCAGCTCTCTCCCCCAACTCTGATGGTGATCATACCATCAAAGAGCCTGGTAGTAGCAGCAAAGGTGCATTTTCAGCTTCCCAGACACAGAACAGCAGCACCAGCAGCCGTGGGAAAACAGGTAGCCCTGCAGTGAACTCCCAAAACACATTCCCTTACCCCAACATGCCACATCATCCTGCCATGGTAGCGCTGCCCCAAGACCTAAGACCAGGGCACAGCAGGGACACCTACCACCCACAATGGGCACCAGCAATTCTAGGGACAACAGGCACCACATAAGTAAGAGGAAGAAGAAGAAGAAAAAGGCCCTATAGCACTATCTATTGAAAAAGAAGAAACCTGTTTACCAGCCTGCTGAATTGTTAAAATGAAAATGGTACCTAAATGAGAAAAGTGTTCACTATTTTCACTATTTCAAATTTGCTGGACGAAAAACACCACCTCACACACCATGAATAACTTCATGGTAACATGAAGTAACATGGTATTCTTGTTACCTTGTTATAACAAAGGCTGTCTGTAACAAGAGGCAAAGGACAGCCAAGCAATTGCACTTCTGGATATTTATCCAAAACACAGAAAATACTATTCACTGCAGCATTATTTACACTAGCCAAGATATGAAAACAACTAAGAGCCCATTAATAGATAAATGGACAAATAAGAAGTGGTGCACATACACATACAGTGGAACATGACAGCCAGAAAATCTTGCCACCTGTAATAGCATGGGTAGACCTTCTGTGTTGTACTGAGTGAAATAAGTCAGAAGACAAATGTCATATGATTTCCTTATATATGAAATCTAAAAATGAATACTATGAACAAGCACAACTGAAAAACTCAGATACACAAAAGATTTTGACAGTTGCCAGATGGGCAGTTTGGAGGGATGAGTAAAAAACGTGAAGGGATTACGAAGTATATTGGTGGTTTCAGAATAAACATGGGGATGTACAGTACAGTATAGGAAATATAGTCAATAATCTTGTAGTAACTATGTATAGCGTCAGATGGGCACTACTGGTTTGGCCAAAAAGCTCATTTTAACTTTTCTGTAAAATGGCTCTAGTAGCACTTAACTGTGTTTAACTTCATTCAAAACAATTTTGTTGGATTGTATTGTGACATCTGTCATATCAGTGTGCATTACAAAAAACATCAAAATTGGTGAATTTTTGTGTAGACACTGTAATATTAAAGATGGAAGAAAATACACATTTTCAGCATGTTATGCTTTATTTCAAGAAGGGTAAAAATTCAACTGAAACACACAAAAAAATGATCTGTGCAGTGTATGGAGAAGGTGCTGACTGATAGAGTATGTCAAAAGTGTTCCACAAAGTTTTGTGCTAGAGATTTCTCTCTGGACAATACTCCCAGTCAGGCAGACCAAAGTTGATGGTGATCAAATTGAGACATTGAGAACAGTCAATGTTCTACCATTCAGGAGATAGGTGGCATACTCAAAATGTCCAAATCAATGAAGTTATTAGTGAAAATGAAAAACGTGTCTTTTATGGAAAAAAATAAATGGAGCTTTTGGCCAACCCAAGATTTATTGGGGTGATCACTTGGTGGGCTATGTAATTGTCTAATCACTGGGTTATATACCTGAAACATATAATATTGCAGAACTATAATTTAAATATAAAAATTATTTTTTAAAAAATTAGAACCTAGGCCCTGGACAGTGCGGCTTAGTTGGTTGTGTGTCATCCTCTAGACAGAAAGGTCACCAGTTTGATTCCCAGTCAGGACCATGTGCCTGGTTTGCAGGTTCTGCCCCCAGTCACAATAACTGATCAGTTTCACTCCTCTTTCTCCCTCCTTTCCCCTCTCTTTAGAATAAAAGAAAAAAAATTTAAATAATAAGCTAGCCAACATACTTTTAAGTTTGTTTTTATTTTTTATTTTAGAGAGAAGGAATGGCAGGGAGAAAGAGGGAAAGAAAAATCAATGTGAGAAACATCGACTGGCTGCCTTCCACATGGTCCTGACTGGGAACAAACCGGTGACCTTTTGGTCTGTGGGATGATGCCCAACCAACTGGCTGAGGCACCCAACAAGGTTTTAAATTCTCTTATCACTTTTGAGTCACGCTCCTCAGCTTCCTGCATCTGTAAGATTAAGGTAATACCTCCTTTGCTGGACTGTTAAAATGACTGAGTAATATGTGCAGGGAAGAAATAGTCTACATGTTAAATTCCTTCCCTTATCATTTATCTAAGTTTCTTAATCAGGACATTTTTAATTTGCCTGGTATTAATTTGCTTTTACTGTAGTAATTTAGTACTTTGGCTGGTCTAAATTCCTGAGAATTATACTAACAGTCAAATAGCATAAACAACTTAGTATTTCTCAAAAAGATAATATCCAACTTAAAGCTAAAAAACAAATTGGGGACTAAATAGTAAAGGAAAACATATAATAAAGATTATATATTTAAAAACAAACAAAAAACAAATCAAGCCCTGGCTGGTGTGGCTCAGTGGATTGAGTGCCACAAATGTGAACCAAAAGGTAACTAGTTTGAGTCCCAGACAGGGCACATGACTGGGTTGTGGACCAGGTCCATAACTGGGGGTGTGTGAGAGGCAACCAATAGATGTCTCTCTCCCTTCTCTTCTAAAAAATAATAAAATCTTTTTTAAAAAGTCAAGAAACATACCTATACTGATCACTTCTGCAGCACATGTACTAAAACTGGGATGAAAGAGATTAGCATGGCCCCTGCACAAGGATGACATGCAAATTCGTGAAGCATTCTAGAAAACCAAAACATACCTATATATAGCCGTGTTCTTATTATTTAACAAATGTAATTACTTAATTATTTTTGTATGTGTTTGTGTCATCGTATTAGGGACAAACTAAAAAATCTAATATGAAAAATCTTTAGAGATCAGATTAGGTTTGAGAATTGAAAGAAGTTCAGGTTATCTTGGGTTTTTTGAGGCCATTAGTTATGGAAAGATTTCCTATACTTTTCACTTCAACACCAAAATCTTCAGAGCTGAGCTTTTGTTCACTCACAAATAGTTCAGCAAGACAGGATGATACAGGAATCAAATGAGACTCACACGCTCCTTTGTTGTTTAAGAGAATTCTGTATTTTGTCAGTGATACAGGCTCAGTGTGTTATCTCTTGGGAAAAATACGGCTATTTTCTGTTATAAACTTTATTTCTGTATATAAAGTCCAGATTTTATTAGCTATTTTGGTTTCCCAAAATAACTATTAGGATACTCCTCATTTTAGGCTTTAAATAACTGTGTGATAAAATAGCATATGTAGGTATAAAGCTGAAACACAAAGTACATACACATTTCCACATTGCTGACACACAGGAGAAAAGTGTTGTGTTTCTTTTGTGACAGCCTAGAAGGTTCCCAAAACTACATACCAGGGCAACCTAGTAAATTAACATAAGTGCTTCGGCTTATTTTTAAATTTTTAGGGGAATATATCTGTTGGACATTACACAAACTACTAGTTTGAGGTAGTTTACATTTCCAGTATTAGGTAGCACTATATTTCTTTCATGACTGTGTATCTTTGCAAAACTGGGTTTTCAGCAGTTGTGATAAAAAGTACTGTGCAAAAGCATACTGGAACAGGAAATGATAGTAGCAATGTCAATCCAAGCTGATTCCAAGGTTTGAGAAGCTGTGCAGTGTCCACAGTTACTAGTGATTATGATGTAAATTCTAAGTTGGTTGGACCAGACTGTTTAATAAATGGAAGTATGATGATGCATTTCTTTTGTCCTAGATGCCCTGAAAAAAAAAAAAATTACTGAAACACTAAAGGGCACCATGAGCTGAGGAAGTATTAAGAACATCTATGGTGTAGGCAAGATATACACTAAGACAAAAGTCATTACATCATTCATTTTCTACCTAAGAAATTTTCTAGTCTTATAAGAAGGAGAAAAAAATATATAAAAACATACATACAAAGTTTGGATTTTTATTGAAATTTTGTGTTAGGTATCAAACAAAATCTGCTTTCTTCAGATAAAAATATTCTCTCAGATGTCTCCAGATAACTGCTAAGTCTAAATTGGTCCTTCAATGTCTTATTTTACGTTTATTGTTGTCACAAAATGTTCATATACACTTAGGATGTCCCCAAAAGAATTTTTATCGTGTAAAGGACCGTACATGACGACCTCTACCACTGCCTCCACTAACAAACTTTCCTCTTGAGCCTCCACTGCCGCTATTTGCACTTGCCCAGGAAGGTCCAAGTCCCCCACGACCTCTTGAGGCACGGTCACGAGGACTTGGGCGGTAGCCTATAAAAGAAAAAAAAATACAGTATTTAGTTGCAACATCCTTTCCTTTCCCATTATATGAATACTCTTCTATAACACTGAGCTCAAACGAAGACAGAAGTTACTCTTTCCTCCTTTACAATCCATGTACAGGTCCTGTCAATGTGTTAAAGACTAGTGAATTGTCCTTTTTCAATAGCTAAGTTGTTTTATTTGAGAGAGTAACATCTCAAATAAAGCTGTTAAGAGTTACTATATGCTTACATACAGAAGATAATACTGTAATCAAGAACAAAATACACCCTAGGAAGATAACTCTTGTTATTAAAATACTCGGGTCAACAACATACCTTAAGGATGGTTACCTTAAGGATTTTATTACTGAAATATAAAAACAGAGCACATCAGCATGAAACTGCTTACATTATACACAAAACTTGGAATCTGAAATTTTTATTATTTCTATAGAAAATCTACATCGGGCACTAATTCAGATATAAAATTAAATTCACTTTAGAATTACACATCTACATTCTAAAATATTCTCTCCTAGAATAAGAGTACATGACACTCAACCATTTGAAAATAAGGATTCACCTTCCTCTCTCAGCAATATCAATTAGAAGAATGAGTACCTGTAGAACTAAGTGGTCGTAATGGTGGAAGAGGGCCTCTGTTAAAATTGCTCTGGCCTCCACGACTTTCATTGTAATTTCCTCGAGGAGTATTCTGAGCACTCCAACTGGAGCCTCTTGTTCCTTCACGACGACTGTAGTTTCCTAAAGCCAACACAATCAAAATCTTTTTTCACATCTTCAGTTAGATTAAGGAAGATCTGACAAGTTTTCCATAATCTTCAAAAGTAACGCAAGATAAACTGAAATTTTTGTAAATGAAATATACTGTACAGTGGCAGTATCATTCATGGTTAGGAGCAGAAGCTCTGGAGCAAGACTGTCAGGTTTCATATAGTGATTTTATCCTTCTTGCGTATGGGTCCTGGTCAGCTGACAGTCTTCTCTCCTATAAAGTGGGTGTACCAACAGAAGCTACCTCATGGAGTTGATGCGAGAATACTGTATGTCAAGTGCTTATAACAGTTCCTAGCATAGTTATGTGTTTACTATTAATGTAAACTCCTATTCTCTTTCACTCCCATCCTCCTCACTCAGCACCAGGAAAATACTACTGAAGTATAATTTCTATGAATAAACTCAGTTTCTAAAATTTTGAAACAATTTAAAACAGATGAAATATAACATTAGGAGTCAAGCAGATAAGAGAATCAAGGGTGAACATAAAGAACAAGCTTAAGGGAATGGTTGCTGAGTATAACTGGGAAAATAATGTCTGAATATTATTCAGAAAGGATAACAAAAGTTAACTTAAAAAAGATTTTTTTCTATTCAATTAAGTACTCTGCAAATAGTATCACTGGCCTAGAGGTAGCTTAATTGTAGTAACAGAAAAATACTTTATCTGAATCACTACCATCTAAATAACTTCTATTCAATATTCTAATATTCCAATATTCTTTTTTTTCCCTTTTAATTGCATTTATTGGGGATGACACTGGTTGACAAAATTATACCCAGCAACTTTCAACCTTTTTTCACCTCATGGCATAGATAAACTAATTACTAAAATTCCAGAACACACCAAAAAATATACTACTACATTTTTTCCAACAAAAAAATAAATATAATTTTGATTCATTCACACCATATGGCTACTGTTGTGTTGTCATCTTTTTATTTGACAGTCTAAGGGAAAAGAGGGCAGTGCCCCTGACTAAATAGTCAGGTAATGCATGTTTGTTATTTTTAAAGACTTTTAAAAATTTATTTTTAGAGACGGGGAGGGAAAAAGAGAGAAAGAAAACATCAATGTGTGGTTGCCGCTCGTGCACCCCCTACTGGTGGCGTGCATGTGTGCGTGGGTGCGTGGGTGTGCGTGCGTGTGCGTGTGTGCGTGTGGGTGTGTGTGTGTGTGCGCGTGCGTGCGTGTGTGTGTGTGTGTGTGTGTGTGTACCTGGCCCACAACCAAAGCATGTGCCCTAGACTGGGAATTGAAACAGTGACCCTTTGGTTCCCAGGCCAGTGCTCAATCCACTGAGCCACACCAGCCAAGGCAGGTATTGAATGCTTTAAAAATTCTTCTGGCACACTGGTTGAAAATTGCTGTTCTAACCTACTAGAAAACATACATAAGCAATTACCTTTTGAGGCTGGCGGTGTGAAAAATCTATTTTGACTGTGAAAAGCACCCCGTCCTCCTCGATTGCCTGAAAATCCACCACGAGAAGAAATCTTCTGCGATACTTTGAGGGGCCGTTTGGGCGGGGGTATTCCATCTTGAGGGACCACTTCTTTACTTTCAGCTGCAACAAAGTCATCCACATGCATAGATGGTGGTCTGCTTGTGTTCTGTTTTCTCTGACGAAAAATATCATGGGGCCGTATACCCTGTCCAAATCCTCCCCTGCCCCTTCCTCTTGGTGGTGGCACAACATGAGCTCGTTTGGCAGGTTCAATGTATTCAGATTTTCCACTATTAAAACAAAAATACTCCATGAAAAAGTTTTCTTTTTTTCGTATTTCCAATGAAAATGTGTATCAATCTTTGCAATACTGAGAACTACATTTCAATTATTTCTTATTCCAATTTTGGCAAATTTTACAGGTTTGTTCACAGGCAAACCTTGCTTTAATGTGCTTTACTGAACTTGACAGATATTACATTTTTTTTTACAAATTGAAAGATTGTACACCAGCAAAAAGATTAAGACTCACTGAAGGCTCAGATGGTAATTAGCATCATTTAGCAATCAAGTTATTTTGTAATTAACATATGTACATTGGTCTATAGACATGACATTGCATAGTTAATGGACTGTAGTATAGTATAAACATAACTTATATGAACAAAAAAACACAAAAATTTCATGTAAATCACTTTATTATGATACTTTATTGCAGTAGTCTGGAACTGAACCAAGGTATACCTGTACTTTCCACTGAAATACAATAAAACTAGCTAACAATGGTACTCACATTTTACTACTATGACTAACAATTATTTAATATAATTCAGTTTATTCTTGTTCAAACCTTCCAAACTCTCATAAAGCAGAATAATAAACAAATGTACTAGGTATGTCTTGGCCAAACAATATCCATGATTCCAGTATTATGTCAACTTCCTTTATCCTTTAATGGTCATGTGTCTACCTTAAAATACATTAAAATAAATAAGCTTACATGACCACAATCAAGATCTTCAGCAGAATAAATTTTACCTTGAAGTTATAAAGGTTTCATGCTTGTGCTTCCCAAGTTTGAATCCTTTAGTGGTCTTGGTTCTCCCTGGAGATGATGGTTCTGACAAAAATGAGCGCTCTAACTCTGAGTGCAAGTCAAAGTCACTACAGCATTTTTCAGAGAGCTCGATTAAGTCGACTTTTACCTGCCGTCATAAAAATTAAATGAAATGAAAAATG